GTAGGGAAAACAAGGAATGGGGAGGATTTTGCAGCCCAACAACACGGGTGCCTGGAAGGATGCAACACGGGGTGTGCCTCTTCTCAACACATCAGCTCCCCCCAACCATCTTTTGGCTTGTTGGTTTTTTTAATGCATCTTTCTCCTCCCTGGCAGAATAACGAGGGGGGGGTGATTGCCCAGCTCCCCAGCACTGTCACCACCTTCAACCAGACGGGGCTGAAGCCAGGGGAGGAGTACACGGTTACCGTGGTGGCCCTGAAGGAACAAGCCAGGAGCCCTCCTGCCTCCAACAGCGTCTCAACCCGTGAGTGAGCCCCAGCCTGGGCAGTGGGGAACCAGGGTCCAGCAGTGAGAGCATCCTGACACTGCACGGTCAGGGATGAACCTGCCCCAGCTCCAGGTGCATGGCAGGAACAGCTCCTTCAGGTGCTGTTTGGTCTCCCTCCCTCCCAAACTGCTGCTGGCACAGGCACCGTGGGGAGGTTAATGGGGTTGGGAGCAAAGAGCTCAGGTCTGCTTTTATTCCAGAGCTGGATAAATTCCCTTTCTCCACTAATCTCACATTTCAGAGGCTGGACACCCTTGAGAAACATCTCTATAGATGCATTGCCTACTCACACGTAACACAGATCACAGCTCCCACTGCTTTTTGTGCCACTCAAATGCCCTCAACTCCCACCAAATCAGGGAGCCAGGAGCAATGGCACAGCCTCTCCAAATGGATTTGGCTGGTCACCGGTCTGTCCTGCAGGGAAGAGGAAATTCCACCGGGAAATTCCTGGCCAAAGGAGAGGTGGCGATGGGCAGTGCTCAGCAGGGAAGGGTCTCTCCAGACCAGACCTGCCCTGGCAGCCAGGCAGGCATCTACCTCCATCCAAGCTGTTGCAAAGGGACACATCACTTTAATAGCTGCCAGAGGGTTGTGACGAGGTGCTGATCTCCCCAGGCTGCTAATTTGAGGGAAGGGAGGGCCCCTCCAGCAGCAGCAGCTCCTTCCAGGTCTAAGCTTCCTCAGCCCAGTCCTCTCCTCCCCACTTTGCCTCCCCACGCTTCAGCTTGACGTGGCTGAACAGAGACATCTCCTGGTCAGCCCTGAGTATTCCTTCCCTGAGGAAGTTAGTAAAAAAATACAATAAAATAAACAACTATCAAAGAGAGGCTGGTGCTTTGAACTCCGTGGCTGAGCTTGGCCACAGAGGGCCAAGGGAATGGTGGGCTCCTACTTCCATGCCCTGGGGAGGTGTCCCCACACTGGTGTGTCTGCCCTCCTCTGTGGCACCCCTGTCTCTTTTCCTCCCTCATCCTTGCTCTGCCTAAACAGGGTTTCACACTGCATTGAACAGTGCTCAGTACTTCCCAGCACCACCTGGGTGACTGGACAACTTGAAGCAGCTGGAGATTCAGGGTTTGGATGGTCCTGGCCAAGCTGGACACCAGGCTCCTACCTAAAGCCTTTCCTTCCCAGCCATCCTCCCTTCCCAGTTTGGTCCCTAGGTCTCACCCCACTGCTCCCAGTTCCCACATATAGTTCTCTAACCCTCCGTGGTCCTTTCCATCCCTCCTCACACAAATTTCCCCCAGGACTTCCCACCCTGGAGCACTTAGCACATCCTTATTCTATAGCATCATCTTTATTACATATAGTAGATCAGACACACTTGGATGCAGTACAGTCTGAACTCCAAGACCCGGAGTGGTGGTTTTCCTCACCTTGTGACCATAGAAGGGACAAAAGGGGTTGCCCAGCAGGCTCCAGGCATTAGCACTGCCATGGCACAGCAGGGATGGGCAGGCTTGGCCCATCCATCCATCCATCCCTCCATGCAGTGGTTAGGTCCTGCTGGACTCAAAGCATCCGTCACCCTCACGTGAGCCCACGATTTCCAGAGGGGATGCAGAGGAGAGAAAAGCCCAACTCTCTGCAAAAGAAAGCAGAAATACCCCAAAGCAGCTCTCCAGCATGAATTTAGCTAAAAATCTCATAAGCCAAGAAGGTTTGATGGGCTGCCACCACAGCCCCATCAGCAGAGCAGTTGCATTTTCTCCCCAGTGCTAAGACACCAACAGCTTCACAAGCTGATCCCTCAGCTTCACAACAAACCAGGAGCTGGCACAGAAGCAGGAACATTTCTAGGGACATTCCTCAGTTCCCCATGCTCGGATCAGGTCCTTGGCCCCACGTTATTTAACACATTGTCAACACCTTCCAAAAGGCATCATCTCGTTGCTGATAAACGTTGCCAGATGATGGAGATGCTCAAGAAGGAGTAAATTGAGTGGAAAGAGCTCATCGATAAAAGCAGCTTGAATGGCTCAAAGGGCTGGGTACAAAGGAAAAAAAAAAAAGCACTCCATGAAGCATGAGCAGATCTCTAGGAGCAAAGGAAGTGGACTGAAATTAGAGGTAGGATGTGTTGGCCCGGGAGGTGCCACCTGAAAAAGCCAGGGAGGGACCATTGCTCCCCATCAGCTCAAGAGAAGGGCACGAGTTGCACTGGAGCTGCCATGGGCATTGATGGGAGAGCTGCTGGGTCATAGCATCACAGAATCATAGAATCCTAGGGGTTGGAAGGGACCTTAAAAGATCATCTAGTCCAGCCCCCCTGCCAGAGCAGGGGCACCCAGAGCACATTACACAGGAACGTGGCCAGGGGGGTTGGAATGTTCTCCAGAGATGTAGTCTCCACAGCCTCTCCGGGCAGCCTGGCCCAGGGCTCTGGCACTCTCACAGTAAGAAAAAATTTTCTGATATTCACCTTGAACCTCCTGATCTTGGGAGAGACATCAGTGGAGAGGGTTCAGGGAAGAGTTGGGAGATGGGGACGAGGGACCGGGAACCTACCAGGACCAAACCCCTTGGGGTGGGAGGGTCGTGTCCCTCCAACTGCTAACTCAGGCCACTCCGAAGCTCTGCACAAAGCATCCCTGAACCTCATCCTCCCCAAAGCCACCACCTTTCCCCACCCCCCCCTCCCCAACTAACACCCTGCCTGTTCCCAACCCTCTCCGCAGTCATCGACGGCCAGAAGCAGCT